CATATGTTTATATATTAATAATCATTTTATATAGTTTTATATATAATATATTATTATAAATAATATATAATATATATTATATTATATAAAATATAATATATATACATGTAAGTGTTACATATACATATGTTTATATATTAATAATCATTTTATATAGTTTTCTACATAAATAATATATTATTGTATATATTATAATAATATATTATTAATATATTATTAATATATAAACACAGAAATGAAATAAGCGACATTTGCGACGCGATAAAATAATAAAATACAATACAAAATACAAAAATCTAGAATGGAAAATAATGTTGAATCTAATGCTAGTTTTGTCATGTTTTCTGAATGTTTATAGAATGGTGAGGTCAGATGCGACAGAAAACGATGTCCACGAGCCCTTTGTAATACGATCGCACATCAAATGAAACGCGGCGAATACGTAGCGGATGGCGACGATTGTTGCACGGTCCAGTGCCGACGAGCGAGGCGTCATCATCGTAACAATCATCATTCAGCCCGGCATTCCGTGACACCACGTGAACTCAGCTGAGTAGTTTCAACTGTTACGAAGCTTTCTTCGAATAGTGATCTGGTCTAAGGGAACGCTTCTGGACATTGTTTCTCTTTATAATCATTAAATTCACGGCTTAAGTTATGCCATTGTCATCGTACTTTTAATTCCAAAACAACTTCAGAGCAATTACCAGAAATTACGAGAAAATGATGGGAGTCAATTGGTAACGCAAAATTCTAAATTCAAATAGCAAAACTTAGAGATTGTTTTTGATGCCTGAAGTATCATTAATAAATAAATTCAGAAAATATATATTTAAAAATATTACTTTTTCTAGAATTTTTGAACGATTTAAGATGATGTAAAATTATTATTAAGTTAAAGAATAGAAAAATGAACTAAGATTAAATTTACATAATAAGAAAAATGAATTAAACGAAACCATTTAAATGGAATATGAAACATAGAGGCACTTAGATTAGTATATTAAAATTAATATCGATTTTGAATAAATGGTATACAAATTTTATATTATAGTTTAATTATTTGATAAAATTAACGTTAAATAATCATGTTGATAAAGTATTTTGAAAGAAAATGAAGAATATAAACGATGCTGTGCATCATATTTATCTAACACTAAGTTATCGTTAAAAGAAAGAATCTTTGAAAAAACATTTAATATTGGAATACTTTATTCAGGAACTATAAATTGCCGGAAAATGATAATCAACGAAACAAAAAGATTCATCTTTGGAATAATCGGCAGTTATCAGAGGAAGTTACAATAATAATAATATCAATAACAATATAACAGAGGAAGGAACGTGGATCGTTCTCATCAAGCATTATTCTTACTTATATTCCTGTCGCTTGCTCGATTATTTGCTACAGAGTCCCTTACAGCACCTACTACCAGACATTTATTAATCAATTGTCTCTCATCAACGGATAAACGGACCGGAAGTCAACTGCTCTCTATCTTCGAGTGACCCTTTATATACATACATACATGCATATATTATATGCGTTTACTTACACATAAATATATAAACATATATTGTATGGTACGGCTATATTGAAAGAAAAAAGAACAAGAGAAAAAATTAGACAAAGAAAGAGGCAAACTTGGAGAGAATTTAAAATCGTGACGGTAAATGCAGAACCCTATCGTACCCATCAACCTCACCGAGTTACCCAGCAACCAAAGAAGACTGAAGAACCTCCAATGGGTGGCATCAGTTGTCATTAAAATGTGGAAACATGCTAAGATTTTTATCATACTTTATTAACTCCATACAAATTATTACTATTACGAATTACTATTATTATTAATAGTAATATTACTATTATTAAAAATATTAATGTCGATATAACATCATTAATGTTATAGATCATTATTCATTTTCATTAATTTTATATCACCACTGTTCATCATTGTTCATTTTCATTTCATTTATAATTCATTACGTTCATCATCATTAAAAATTTGTTTTTATTGGAATTTTGATTATTAATATTATTAAAATTATTATTATAATATTTCTATTATTATTTTTAATAATATAAATAATATCGCTATTTTGTTAAATATTCATCATTATTATCAACATTATATTACTAATCACGATTGTTATTGTTAATATCATTATTGTAATAGCCTATAATAATAATCTCATCGAAATAGCTTTTTCGTAACTTATAAGTTTATTTATTATTAGATTCTCTAAATTATTCGATGGCGAATAAGTCATAAATAATTCTAAATTTACTTCAAACGATAATTCAAAAAATGTATTGTAGCTTCAACCTCGATGCAAATTCTTTGCCCGTATCACGAAGAATTTGGAAAATCGATGTTCAGCAAAAATTATATATTAAATTAGAATAATACTGAATCGCCATTTTTAAATATAGAAGGATGTGTGTTATTAAGGATGAATGAATAGTATGTCAGTTTTTTATGTGTATGATAATTGATGAAAGTTAAATAATAGTTAATAATAAAAAATAAACAAAAAGAACTTTCGTAAATGAACGATATGAAGAAAAAAGTATTTGTAAAAATTGTAAGAGTTCTAGCTTATAATTTTCGCGATATTGATCAATTTTTGTTAAATTTGACAATTTACATAAACTCATTTTTTCTTTATCTTATTATTTAAATATGAATACTAAAAATATAAAAAGAATATATGTATATGATTAATTTTATAATATGCGAATGATTTATCGTTTGAATGAAAAATTCGTATACTGAAAATCAATGGAAATGAACATGAATACGATGAAAAATATAGTGAAAAATTCGGATATTAATTGATTGAAATTCATTCTAACTGGATATTTTTAATTTTTTCGAAATATTTAGTTTCCGAATAACTTTATTATGAAATTAACTTTTAATTTTAATCATGATTCATTGTTCTTCTGTGCATTTCTTTATGATCTAGTCTAAGTATTTGGAGTGTCCATTTGAACAAGCTTGCGAATAACGAGCGGTGATCCGATCGTTCATGAAATATGAGAACAAAAAAAGGATAGCGGTTTTATGTATAGCCACGGCAGCTGGTAAGCTTGCTTAACACTTTTTGATACAGCACTTTTTCTAATAGAGTGTGAATGTAAATTACATGGTCAACAGGTTCAAAGCAATGCACTAAAACGAGCAACCTGTATCATATTGAGAGTTTCATTTAATGATTATTGTGATTTTTAATAAAATAATTTTTTTATATTTATTTGTAATTGTTAAATATTTAAAAGGCAAGCGTAATTGATTATAAGAAATAAATCTTTAATATCATTATATAATAAACAAATATTTTATTATTATAAATTTTATCCAAGCTTTGCTAGTATGTTATACAATTTCTTCCAATGTTTCCATAGAGACAATGCAACTCTCATTGTTACTTGTTACTTGGATATTTTGTAAAAATCTTAACAGCGATCAATTGTTAATTTTTTTGTACATAAGCGAATATGTAACGAGAATTACGAATTATCAATATTGCGATTATTATTCTTATTATTGATATCATTGATAGTATTTATAAATACATATATATCGTATTTCATCCGATTCGTAGATATAGATGATGCTTATTATTATTATTAATATTATTTTATTCTATTTTATTATTATTATTATTATTATTATTATTATTATTATTATTGTCATTATATATATATATCTTATTTTCATGTTTATTTAAAATCATCCCTCGTTTTACAAGCATGTTATATAAATATAGCTCTTGCTATTTAGATAAATATTTTTAAATATTAATATAATATAAGACACAATACTGTATCGTCCTGAAAATGCATTAAGCTCGCGTTTTTTCTTCTTAGTTTACTAATTGATTGAAACATTGTTGCTAATTTCTTTTATCTAATATATACAATTCGACTGTACGAAAATTAAGATAAAAATTATCGTGAAAATCAGGGTATAATCGAGATACACATATTGAATGATTATGCTCCATTCATTATAATCGCCATTAAAATTAATAAATCGAGTAAATGATAAGATATAATATTTGAATATTGAATATATATGTCTATATATTTATATATATTTTTTTTAAATGAATATCATGCAACGATATCAATTTGTAAATTATTATGTAAATTTTTATGTAAGAATTACGGTGTCAACGAGTTTTTATAGTGCCTTAAAAAGTTTAATTAACAATCGAAGCGATCAGTACGAATCTGTCAAAGACAGTATTCAGACAATATATATTATATTATAAAAAATTATGATTAAATATGAAATGTTATTTATAAAAATAATAAAATATTTTTTGAAATTTCTATTCAAAATATACGAGATTATAATAAAATTGTTCAATGTTAATATGATAGAATCTTGTTAATCTTGTATATTGGACAAGAAAGATGGTGATATTTTGTACTGTGCCAAAACGGTTGTCAATTAAATTGTAATTAATCATTAATTTGCTAAAAGCATATATTATTTCGAGTAGCTTGTTATAATGTAATTATATTACACGTAAGTAACTGTAATGAATGTAATGTGTTATTCATGGAATAATAAGTCGGAAAGCGCGTATATATGTGTGTATGTTGTGTATGATGTATGAAAGAGAGAGACAGAGAGAGAGAGGAAGAAAGGGAAAGGAAAAGAAAAAACAACTGCAAGAATGAAAGTGTATAACTAATTGTTTATATTGCTATTTAATGCAATAAAACATATAAATGAACATAAGCAAATTAATAATTAGAAGTAATTGTATGCCGATTTCAGTATTTCCATTAATAAACAAATACATTTGAGTCTCATTTGTGTGTTTGTTGTATTGGTTGAAACACGTGACGCCACAGATTTTATTTCTTAATATTAGATGTTGATAAAACATTATATGCCTATTATACTGTACCTATAAGATATCGGCGAAGATTATGAGAAATATAAAATTTGCTATGATATAACAAATTCACAATAAACTGATTATTTATGCTTTAATAAAGTTTTAATTTAAAATATTAAATTTTTATTTCATTATATAAAAAATAATTCTGATATTGAATATAACATGAAAATATATTGAAAATAAACAAAATTCTGAATATTTGATAGTAAGTATATTGATAAATAAAATATAGATAAAATTATAGAGAAAATCTATAGTTCATTTAAAAATATAATATGGCATTCAATTGCTGAAATTAATGATATTTTTTTATATTTAATTTTATTTATTATGTTATTAATAATATTGAATAATTAAATCATTTTTAGTTTTTCACTAAATAAGTTTTATAAACTATTATATCTATAGCCGGACTATACATATCTATACTTATTATTACTTTATTATATGATATATATTTATACATATATATATTCTATATCTATACTACATTACACATATCTATAAATATACATATACATGTACATATATATATTGTACTAAATAATGTACTGAAAATTGTATTAAATTGTATTAAATTTGACAATTCAAGACTATGTAATAGTAATAATGTGCAATTATATAATTATATAATAATATATTAAATATATATAGTAATTCTTAGTTTGATAAATGTGTGATTAGATACTTATATTGTATAATTATAAAAACACTTGATTATAATTTTCCTTGTTCATTTTTTTTTATTTCTTTGAAACCCTCGTCCAAAATATATAGAACAAGATTTATTTTTTTAAGTATTGTATTAATTCTTAGTAATCCAATTCATAAATTTCCCAGCAGTTAAATCCAAATCTCTGCCACTTTCAACCTTATATTTAAAGATATCAAATTATATATTACATATATATAAATCCATAAAAAATATAAATAATTAAAACTTTTATCAAAATAGTAATATGTTAAACATTTCTTTTTAAAAAAAAGATGAAATTAAAATATTTTTGTTAGAATTTAGAAAATATAGAATACAAAAATAACTTTTAATTCGAATTCTCAACATCAAGTGGCAGCTTTATACAAATAATCGTAGATAATTTATATTATATGAAATTTTCATATAAGATTGAAAATTTCGTAATTAAGATTTTTAATATCTTAATCTTTTAAATTTTTAATCTTTCTTAATCTAATAGCTTGCAACGAATATTCTATAATATATTCTTGAAGGTTTTTTTCTGCGATTTCCATCAATGTTTCACTCATTTCCAAGAATTATAAAGTCTCAGTAATACGAGGATTCCGCTTTCCTTCCAAACAGTTTCTTTTAGTTATAACAAAGAAAATGTTATAATAAAATTTCCACAAATATTTGTCACTTTATAATAATTGAATGTAAAGATATAATGTTGGTAAATTAATAGTAATAGTAACGAATTATTGATAATAATAGAAAATTAATGTTAAGGTATTAAAAATAAGATGCATGGAAAAATTAATAATAATAAATGAACATAGATAAGTAAAAAAAGATTTTTTCCCAGATAATCGATAACAACGTAATAATTCAAAAGGCATCAAATTATCATTCTGTAAGAATTTATCAACGATCCGTGGTTATGAATCACAAAAATACCGAATAGATTGTGCAAGTCATCCTGATGACCTTACGAATTGAATTGATATTCTAGAGAGTGCCGATTTTCACGGTTACTCTATACAGAAGAGTTGCGGTTAAAAAGAAAACCGCAATATCATTACGTACTCTGCTCGTGGACTGAATGAAATAGACGAAAGTATCTTCGGAGAGATATGGAATGCCTTTTGGCTGCCGCGTAAGCTGCATCGACGTCTTAAGAATCCATAAAGAACGGTTCCCCGTGATACAATGCGCGCAGTGATACAATGTCAACGATTTAAAAGAGCATCACAACTAAAAAAATTTATTTTATCTTTTTATTTTTTAGTATTTTATAAAATATTAATAATTCTAGTAAAAAAGCTTTTTTATATACATACTTTGATCTTGAAATATATTATAAAAAATGTAGTTTTACACAATTTTTTTCTATATATATAATCATCACTTTTAGTTTTTGATGGTGATATATACATATAAGAAATGTCTTTTATTAATATATTTAAGCTTCTATTACGATTAAGATCCGTATTTGGATCCGAATAATCGGTTTTGAATCTTCTATTAAATATAATATTTTTTTTTTTTATTTAGATTCTAACTATGATTGAAATCTAAAATATAAAAAAGAATTTATTTATATTATATAATTTGAATCAATTGTCGATATCACTTATACAGCAATAAAAATAATAAAATTACACGGATAGAAAATTATATGAATTGAAGATAGATTTCATTTATTACACGAATTTAAATATTATATTTGAATATTTATAAAATAAGGATCTTTAATATTTGATATATTAAATTATATATTGGAAATTAAATATTTAATAATTCAAGATTTATAATAATATATAAAATGATATGAAATTATTCATATGATTTATTCATATCATAACAAAATATATATATATTAATTCTTTTAAATCTAATATATGTGATTTCCATTTTTCTTTATAATTTCGATATCGATGCATATTTCAAACCCTCGTCCAGACCACGTAGAACAAAATCGACTTTTTCGGGGGTGGCGTTAACTCCTAGCAATCCAATCCGCAAAACTTTTCCAACGGTTGGACCTAAGCCTCTACTAATTTCAACCTTGTATCTAAAAAAATCACACTATATGTAATCACGGATAATCACAAAAAATTTAAAATTAAACAAAAAATATATGACATAAAAGCTTTAAAATAAAATAATATAAATAATATATTACTCCATAAATGATAAATTGCGTTATTCTATAATCGGCAATTTATTATCCCCAAAGATATCAATAAATAAATGATTGCTTTGAAATTAATCTATTTTGTAATTCAATATTCTTTTGCTGATATTTTTTCTTTTTTATATTCTTTTTTTTTTTTATTTTTGCGTTTACTATTGTAAATATGATTGATTGCATCAATTTCATTTTATATAGTTTTTTGCTGTTTTATAATTGAATGTTATTAAGTATTTCACTTTTTAAGTCAAAACAAATTAAAGTAATTTCATTATAACGTGAAAAAGAGACTTACTTTTCCATGGCTCGTTGAATAACAATTTTATCATCAACACCAGGTGGCAACTGTATAGATATAACCGTAGATAATTGATATTGTGGAATTTTTACGTAAGATTGAAGACCTCGTAATTCAAGACCCTTTCTTAATCTGACAGCTGCGGCAGCATGTCTGTTCCATAATGCTTGAAGACCCTCTTCTGCGATTTCTGCCAATGCTTCACGAAGACCATAAAGAAGTGTAGCACTCATAGTGTGATGATATACACGATCTTCATTTCCAAAACATTTCCAATAATTTCCAAGAATTGTAAGATCCCAATAAAACGAGAAGGGTTTTGTTTTTCTTTCAAACAATTTCTTTCTGACAAAAATCATGAAATTGTTATAAACACTTGTCATTTTCTTAAATAAAATTTTGAAATGCCAATAAATTATTAATAATGAAGAATAAATATTAAGATAAGAGCAAAATGTTAGATATTACACATTAATTGACACAGAAATAATTTAAAAATTATATAGAAGAAAAGAAAAAAAAATGAATATAGATAAAAATAAGTTCTTTCTTGATACATTATACATAACTAAATAACAAATTTGAAATTTATCAGAGTATCATATCAAATAAAAATTTATTAACGATTCACAGTTATGAATCACAGAACTATTGAATAAACCATTCTGATGATTTGATTTAATTGATATTCTATACCCTTTTTCACATTTATACAGTACAAAAGATTGCGGTTAAAAAAAAAGAAAGGAAACCACGATGTGATTACGTACTCTGCTCGCGGACTAAAGGAAATAGGTGCAAGTCCTGGAGGGGCACCAATGGCTTTTTGGCTGCCCGCGTAAGCTGCATCGATATCCCAAGAATCCATAAAGAATGGCTCGCCACACAATGATGCAACCACATCAACGATAAGCAGAGCATTGTATCTGAAACAATTTATTTTATTCTTTTATCAATCTGTAATAAACAATTGATTTTATAATATAAATTATAAAATATTTATTTAATTTTATCTTTAATGTTTTAAAAAATATTTTATTATATCAATTTGATAAATATATTTGTAATAATTTTTCTTTGAAGAAATTTTGTAATTTTGTTTAAAAAGTGATTTTAAATTATATCTGTTTACAGAGATTTTTTAAATAGAATGCAATTAAAAAATTAAATGCATATTTTATAAACAAATATTCAGTTGATAATAATAATAATTATAAAAAAATTTAAGAAAATAACTTATGAATAACTTCACCAAAGCCTTCTAATGGTTGTTTCACACCTGTGGAAGATTCAGCTTGGACCATAAAGACTACGACTGGTCTATGCTGTTCTAAAGCAATTTCTAATTCTTTCAATGTGACTCCTTTAGTGTATTCTGTTTCTAGTAATTTTACCTATATATTTTAAAATATAATTTATATAATTTATATAAAAATTTAAATCATGATATATTTTTAATATTTTGAATTTTATTGTTTTTTTAAAATTTATTCTTCTTGTATACATTTGCACCAAGTCGATTGGCCATACAAGCTGCTCGTTGACCCCAAATTCCACACTTGACAATGAGTACAGTTTCACCAGGTTCGAGTAAATTTGTTAAACAAGCCTCCATACCTCCATGACCTGATGCACTTAGTACCAAAGTGAGTCTATTATTAGTTTGAAAGATGTATTGAAGGCCTTCCTTAATTTCATCCATTAACTATAAATAAAAACTATATTAACTGATTCTATTTTTATTCTTTAATAAGTGAGGAAAATGAAATAATCACCATACAAAATTCTGGATGAAGATGCCCAAGAATTTGATTCTGTAAAGATCGAAGAACTCGTTTCGAACAATTAGTCGGTCCAGGACTCATTAAAGTTTTTATCGGCAATTGTAATTTAGTTCGAAGTATTTGAGGCGGTTCCTTATGAACTGCCAATTTGTTCCATTTATAATTCATATTAATTGATTTTTCTTTAAATTATTCTAAAAATTAAAAGAAAAATAATACTATAAACAAATAAATAATTTTTAAATTTTTAATAATTTATAAATAATTATTAATTTATTTAAAATCTTTAAAATAACAAATAATTCTGATTAATGCACTAATAATAAATTAATAAGAATATTACCATTATCATTGTAAGAACATCATTTTCAATTATTTCATTTAAATAAAATGTTTATTATATCATTTTTAAAAAAATATATATATTTATAATATACTTATTTTTTTTTTTTTAAAAAGTAATATTTTTTTTTTTTTAATTTAATATACTATTTTCAAAAATATATTTTTTTTATTTTTTATTAAAAAGTAATATTTTTTTTTTTTTAATTTAATATACTATTTTCAAAAATATATTTTTTTTATTTTTTATTAAAAAGTAATATTTTTTTTTTTTTAATTTAATATACTATTTTCAAAAATATATTTTTTTTATTTTTTATTAAAAAGTAATATTTTTTTTTTTTTAATTTAATATACTATTTTCAAAAATATATTTTTTTTATTTTTTATTAAAAAGTAATATTATTATTTTTATATAATATAATTAATATAAAATTTTATATTATTAATATTATAATATTATATATAATATCTAAATTATAAAATATTATACGAATCTATCACTCACAATTTGCACACCAGTCTTATTAAAGTAAGATTTCCAGTTGATAATTGAACCAGTGCTATGTACAGAAGTTTCTTTATGACTGAAGTGTTTTTTATTTAGATATAACTTACCACAGTTACAGTAAACTTGTGAAATCATAAAATACATTAGACTTCGATAAGCCGGGATAATTTTAGTTTATGTAACAAATCAGTGATGAAAGAAGCATTTCTTTAACATGATATCGTGATGATATTTGTCGTTTGAAACAAGAAATTTTCATTAATTAATTATACAAAGATCATGCAATTATTGTTTTAATTATTCGAATGTTATTCGAATTATGTAGACAAGTTATTAATTTATATTAAATAGAAGCAATATTAAATAGGAGAGAATAGATAATGAACAAGATATTTCAAGATTTATGAAATTACTAATTGTGGCTGAATTGACATGAGAATACAAAGAAATCTTTTCATTGAAAGACGAAAATAGCTTTACGTTATTGCGATTTGATAACCTCTTGAATATTATCGTAATTTACATAAATAAGTAAATTATTAATTATTAATGTGAATAAGAAATATTGCTAACTACACTTTTTCATGAATCAATCATAAAATATTATTTGGTTCATAATTGTGATGAAAATAATTTCTTTTAAATGTATTCTTGATTGATATGCATTTCATTTATAACCTCACGAATTGTATTAATATAGCATTTCTTTTGCTAGAAAATATGTAGACAGAAGTTAATATTAATATTAATATTAATACTAATAATCAAGAAAAAATTTTTAAATATTTATTTTATTTTGTATAATTCTTTTAAATTTTTAAAAATATATTAATTATAAGATTATGGTTACGATATTATGTAATCAATGTTGGAAATATAAAAAACATAGATACAAAATATATATATATATATATATA